TTAGTAGCATGAACGTCCACCCCCTGTGTGACCAATAGTAGTTGTTATGCGGGAGACAGGGATAAGGAGGGGCTGTGCAGCGGTCGAGTGAGCGGCCAGTGGGTGGTGTGTTCTCATCTACGGCATTTGCATGAGATGATGCAGAGCCGGAAGCTCATTGTATAGCTGTTGGGTAGCGGAGACGACCGGAGAGGCGCTGGAGCAGCTGGCTGTCGCTACTTCGTTGATATCGCTCAGGCTATTTTGCGTTGAGATGAAGTGCAAACAATGAGTGCGGCACTGATATTGTTTTGAGCTGGCTACGTCGTGTCAAGGTGTTTGGAGCACCTTTCCACAGCGATCAGAGGCAGGCGTGATAGATGGCAACTCGGTGTGCGTGCGGAATATATATTCTATGTGTTGAGAGCGTTCGCGTCTCGTTGGCTTTTGAACGAGACGCGGTTCGACAGGGATTGCGAGTGAAGACAGCTACATCGTTTTGTACTTGGCGTTAAGCTTGCTTGTTTGGTTTGCGTGCTGTGTCTGAAGTAAGCTTTGCGCGCTGATGTGGGTGTTCGCAGTATTGATGGGAGGGCGAGCGGTCGCGCAGATGCGAGCATCCAGGGGTTGATGTTTGCGTTCGCGCGCGTCCACGGCAGCCGTGGCACGAAGCGTTTTCTGGCCTCATGATTGCGAGCTGTATTGCTCAGCCTGTGCGTCTTTCACAACGCAGATGCAGCTGCTTGGTGCAGTTGCGCGAACTGTGCCGCTTCAGGCAGTTTGGTGGCACGCATGAATGCGTATGTGTTTGGGTGCATATGTGTGGAGTTGCAGTGTGGGAAGAAGTCGGAGCTCGTTTTCGTTGATCAGGGGTCGTGTGCGATGCTAACTGGGCGGAATGGTTAGGCGCTGTGATTTGCGCTCGCAAGACGCAGGAATCTGACACAACAAACTGTCTGAGGGAACCGGAGACTGAGTGCGTATGCAGTGCAAAAGGTGGTTTGCCGCAGGTGCGACCACGCAGTGGCTTGTGCCGAACGCGTAGTAGTAGTGTCGGCCACTGCCTTTGCTAGTAATGCGTGGGCGGAAAACGGAAGTGGCGGAGAGCAGTGCTGTGGCAGGCGGCGGCCGACGGCAGCCGACTGGGTGACCAACATGTAATTGTGTGAGTACTTCTTGCGCTTTCAGATGAAAATCAGAAGCGAAGCATGCAACCCGTTGTGCAGCCCCTGAGCACCACAACGAAAAAACGAGACGCCCTGTGTAGGTGGCTGTTGCTGCTCCGGCGGTATTCGTGGGGCTCTTTTGTTGTCGGATGATGCGCAGCGTATATATGCGCCATATTTCTGCATTTCACGGAAATGCGTTTACGTTCACAGCATTCCAACGTACTACACAAAAGCGAGAGGAGCCCGCCCAGAGGAGGGCTTCTAAGACGGCTCCGATTCTTGAAGGTCTTTAAAAAGGGAGCGCTTCGACAGGGACGCACCGCGCAGCCAGCTGAATGGTTTTGCAGTCCGAAGTGAGATTGCACTTGACTTGCATGCTCCGATAGGTCCCTCTGCCGGCAGGCTTACGCGCAGCACTGTCGAAAAAGCAGAAAGGGGGCCCGGGGGATACTACCGACAGTGGAACTGCATAATACCTCTGGTGTACGGGCAAAAGATTGCGAGACCGTCTCGGGAATACAAAAGACAGCGGATCGTTTAGTGCAGCCGAGTGCTTCCGGTTTGGTGATATTAGCTTTTGCCTCGGTGTAGGTGCAATTTTTCAGTGCTTCACTATTTTTGCGTTAGGTCTCGGCATCGCAAGTCAATGTTCAGAACACTAACCTAGTAGGCAGCGGTAACCGGGAAGCATGCCCTTGGTAGGCACGCACTTGATGGTTTTAGATTGCCTATGTTCTTCTATATCTGAATCGTTTTGTAGGCGGTATTAAGCTTAAGCTTGGTTTGCCGGCTCTGCTTGAACTCGGCTCCGCTCGCCAGTAGGAGTATACGCAGTATTTGGTGGAGGGCCAATGGATACGGATGTGTGGAGCGTCGGTAGTTATGCACGTGTTGGCGCGCGTCTGCGGCTGCAATGTGATAAAGCCTACCGTTCTTACGATCGTGCCCCTTTGTGCCTACCAAGTACACTCTGACAAGCCACTTTTTATGCTTGGCGCTGATATAGTTATGTTTCCGGGTATTCTGATGGAAGGCATCAATGAATATGTACATGCGTGCAAATTACCGAAGCTGTAGCGTGAAAGGAAGTGGAAGATGCTTTTTCTTCTGCCTCACTTTTCTTTGGTATCTCCTGTTGCAGACTGGTTCGTCGCCAGTATATGCACCTCAGGAGAGTGTCTAGCATCACAAACGATCTCACTGAGCTGGTGGGGGAGCGTATCAGCAGAGCAAGAAGTGGCAGGCAATAGGGCTCTCTACGCGGTGATTTGCGTCAATCGTTGAGTACTATTGACGATACCATTGATGCGCAACGTGCGCAGTATGCGGATGACGAGAAACGCGACAAACAGGCGCAATGGACGATGTAGCCAACACGAATTCTGTAAATTCGCATGAGGCTTGCACAAACCAAGCAACCGTCGGTAGCGCCTAATGCTGTTTTTTGTCTGGCGAGATTACTTCAGGTGTTTTGTGTTGAAAGTAGGTGCAGATGGTGAATGCATCATTGATATTCTTCGGCACAAACCTGTTCTCTATTTTTTGTTCGGAGTCACCTTTCATAATCAACGGAGCCGAACGTGTTGCAGGGCGTCATTGTTTGCATGGCTTATGCCTCGATTCGTTCAGGCGCATTTACAACTATAAGCACGGTTTCCCACTAAAACCCGATTCAGAAGGATACCCCATGTAGCCGTTCGGATCATCTTGCATTTGGCATCGGGCTCAGGGTTCGTTCACTTCGTCAGAGGAAGCTTCGGCTGCCGATAGAAGTTTTTGCAACATTCGTGGATGAGTTGGGGGTCTTGCATTTGTGAGCATCGTGGGACTGTGCTAAGTGTGTGCAAGCATATATGGATGCAGTGTGGTGAAGACTTCTCGGACGTTGGGTCTGCATTAATTTTTGCTCAGGCTGTATGGATTCAGAGGCAAACTGATTTGCTCGTCGCAGCTAGGGCTCGTCGAATGTTCCAGATTGCCTGAGGGCAAGCATCGATATATATGCGCGCGCATGCAGATTTGTGGAGTCGCAGGGTGAAAAGAAGTGGGCGCTGCTTTTGGTTTAACCTTGCTCGTCTTTGTTATGTATTGGAACACAGTGGTCCGACGGTGCGATGTGCGGTGGCGTGACATGCTGTCATTATGAAGGATCTCAATGGACAGGCAGCTCAGTCTATGTGCAGCACAAAACGTCTTTGAAGACGACGGCGAGTACCAGGAGAGTTGCGTCAATCTTTGCGTGTCTCGTTGGTCGTTCATTTTGCGCTGACCGCTTATTTGCCAGCGCGAAGCGCTTCGAAAAGGCAGCCTCATGTAGCCAGCCGCATTGTTAAGGCTTTGGTATTAAGGTTGCGCATAATTTGCTTACCTTGGATGAGATAAGCTCCGTCAAGCTTGAGGAGCGTCTGGATGGGTTTGCCGGGAGCTAGGTGACCTGCATATGTGAACATCGTACGGGCGTCCAATGTGTCTGATTTGCTTGCTGCCGCGGTGTGGCGAATCCTTGCGTGTTGACTCCGTCAGCAAGGAAACCCATAGAGCCAAATTCTTTTGCTGGGCACGGTCACGCGTACTCCCAGGTTTCCATGCAGGCTGATTGCATGCATGCATGCGTAGGTGCATAGATGCGTATGAGCATGCATGCGTATTCATCAAGTTCCGGTGTGGAGCACGGCGAGTAGTAGTGCTGTGGCTGCGCTCGTCTTTGGAATATACTAAGGCAGAGCGTTTGGACGCTGGAGTGTGTGTTTTCGAAACAGAGTTTGACGTTGTAATTGATCCCACTGAACTGGCCAGACAACCTATATGTGGCGCAAAGCAAACGGCAGCAACGGAGGGCCATTCGCTCTGTAGCATTGGCGATCAAGCCGTTTATGTCTAGTGATACTCGCTTTGCGGAAAATAGGAACGGCGGTGGCTGCAGCTGCGCGCAAGTTTAACATGAAATAAGTAAATATTCATAGGCCGTGCAAGAGAAACAGCAGAATCCGCAGCTTATTGTATAGCCATTGGCATACAGGAGACAATCTCCTTATCTCAGTCGGATTGGTTCTAGATACGTTAAGCTGTTTAACCTGCATGTTTGAAAATGCGGTTCTGCGCGCTCCTTCTCAGCTTCAATGTGGCGAAGCTTTGTTTGGCGGTACTTTGTCCAGGAACTGCATGTAGCAGCGAATGCATTTGGGAGGCGGTTATCGGAACTGTTACTTATCAGTTTGTGCGAGGGCAATATTGGATGTTTATGCGCAATAGTGGAGCTATAGCTTGCAGGGCGAGAACAAGCATGAGCTTGTTCTTCTTTAACCGTGTACTTACTCGGCATCTGCTGGGATGCGGTGGTTTGGCGCCGCAGTACGCGTGCATGATGGCAGTTCTTCTGTGGAAGAAGGGAATATCGGAAGGCGAGCTGCGGTCTATGCCGCGAGGAACGCTCCCTTTGTATGGGGGTGTTGCAGGAAAGAATGAGGAATCCGTGTTTCTTTCTGTAGCTGTTGGGTAAGGCCAAAGAGAGAAAAACCAGTACAGGCAGGTGCTGTGTTTGGTTCAACGAAGGCGCAATCTATGAACGTTTCAGTTGTTTTCGTTCGATCTCTAATGCCTGCGGATAACCGTTTCCTGCACGCCTGGAACCCTTTTGATTCTGTTTGGCCTTTCAACAAGCAGTTCGACAAGGACGCCCCAAGCAGCCGGATGCATCGTTTTGCAGTCGCAGTCAAACCTGCGCCTGGTTGGCTTGTTCTTTATAAAGTGAAGCGCTTCGCGTATGCGCGGCACTCAGTGGATTCGACTGGAGCTAGCGAAGTTGCATGTGCGAGCATGGTTTGATTATCTAGTGTCTGTGCACTCCACGCTGCGGTGTGGCGTACGCTTATCTGGTGTAACGATGTTGCGCTGCTTTGGCCAGGAGGTAAGCGCTTAGCACCCAGCGCGGCTGCCCGGCGTGTCGCGGCTGTGCAGTATGCGTTGGCAAAACAGAGACTGATATTACAAGCAATTTCAGCGATTATATCTGCAGCGCAATACTCGGTGTGAGGTGGCAGCGTCCCTGTTCCCTCTCAAACACCTACTAATATTGAAGACCCGCCTGGTTGTGTGTGATGCTTGTTGCTCTGCGAAGACACCCAATATCGAAAGGCAGGAAAAAGAATGATAAGCATGTGGCGCCTGCACAGAAGAACGCGGGAAGATGACCTCATTGTGGAGCTATCATAGAACAAAAAGAACGGGACGCCTACCCGACGCGGGCGTACATCATACTTACTTCATAAATATGCAACTAAATTCCGATCGAGCTCGGCAAATCGAGCGAGCTCAACACATCAGGGCCAACTGTCCATAGCAGTTCAACTTGCCACACAAAGGCGAGCAGAGCACAAGGCCTCGGTATGCACGCGCATGATGTGTTTCGTACTCCTTGACCATCTTCGATTCACGCCGGTTTTTCCCAAGAAGCGATTCCCCAGGGACACTTCACGCATATGGCTATTTTGTGTTGTAGCTGGTGTTCAGGTTTTTGCTTGG